TTTAAAAAAAAAAAAAAAAAAAAAAAACTCTCGAACAAGCCGTTAAGGCGACGGCGTCGTATCGACTATCGAGTGTAAGAAACTTAGAAAGACCTCCGTCTCCCTGGAAGCCTCTGCTCTCCCGCAACAGGAAAGCTTGCTCTTCAGTCTTCATCGACAAAAATCTCCCACCTTCGGATCCAACCATGGTTAGTAAGATCAAGTCTCTCATAACCCTAAACTTTTCGCAATATTTACACATTAAAAGCTTAATGATTGTTGGGTTTGCAGGAAAATCAAGGTCCCTCACTTGATGACTGCTTGAAGCTGTTAAAGGGAGAGAGAGACGAACAACGCCTCGCAGGTCTCCTTCTCGCCACCAAGTTCTGCAAGAACGATGATGTCGACTCCATTTTAAGGGTTTACAATGCCCTCGGCAACACATTCTTGGACCGCCTTCTCCGAACCGGTACTCAATCGACTCAATTTCAACACATTTTAGACGTTGCTATTATATAGTTGGATGAATCTCCAATAAACGTCAAAGCCCAATGCTATCACAAAGTTCAATTTTACATATCTTAGACTTGAAATTGAAACGTCTAAACATAAACACCACTAGATTACATATGTTTCAACTCTAAGATATGTAAAATTGACCGACATCTATTTTCTTGTTAAGAAAAAGGTGCCAAATGACGATACTGACCCTATGATCTTTTTGTCTCCCTGGTAGGGATGGGGAAAGGAAGCACAAGCAAGAGTCGCCAAGATAATCAAGATGCTTATCTACAACTATCTGTCACAATTTTAGCTGCATTCTGTAGGGTTTCTAATATTGCTTCTTCAGATGATATGGTGAAGAAGATTCCACTCATACTGGAAGTTCTTTCTAAAGAGTATGGATTCTTATAATATGCCTAGATTGATTCTTTTAGCTTTAATCATGCATCATTAGGCAAAGGATTTCACATGTTTATTGTCTGAAATTACAGATTAGGAGCATCACTTGTTGAAGAATGCTTTGAATTTTTATACTTAGTGTCAGCAGCCCACACGGATGGTTCTAGAATCTTCTATGAGTCTGGAGGCATGACTGTGTTAGCTTCTCAGATGCCTAATTTACCAGATGGTATATGATTTACTAAATAATGTCTACACTTGGAGTAAATTTTTATTTCAATTTTGGCATTAACATTCATAAAACCTGTGCAGGTTCTCATACAATGGAGCTAGCAATGAAACTCCTTCAGTTGACCACAAGTAAACTTTCTCTTGACACAATTACAAAGGAGTACTGTTCAGAATTGTCATCAGTGGTAAGCTCATAATATGGAGCTCTTCATATATGCCACATCATCAATGGAGCTCATAAGCAATGTTTCTTGTTGCAGGTCATAGTGTTAGCAAAACAGTTTGCTTTATTGCATAATGCCCTAAAGTTTGAGGCACTTCATCTTCTATCAATGATCCTCTCCTCAATATATGCTGTATGTATGCTTTTTTAAGATGACATTCACTAGTTTTTAAAACTTAGTATTAGATTATAAAGTAACTAACTGGTTTCTTGATACTATCAGGCACCTGTGCAAGAAACTCTACGTGCAATGAGCAACTTGACTTGGTCAACTTATTTACGTGTTGGTGTTGTAGCAGTTTTGCAAAATCGTGTTGGTGAGTTGAAGTTTTTATGTGTTTGATATAAGTTATAGAAACATACTTCCATTGATTTGTTTGTTAATTGTTATAGAATCTTACTTCCATTTCTTCCCATTAAGCCTATCAAGTCAAATATAAACAAACAGCATCTGATTGAATTGAATTTGATATTCATTCAGCACCTGATCAAAGGCTTGAGGCTCTTATTTTGGCTGAATCTGTGATGTGTATTGCTGGTGAAAGGTGGCTTATTGGGCAAACTAACTCACCTGACACACAGGATCCAATTCCAGCTGACAGGTAAGCAATCCATCATGATGTTATATTTCTTGCCAGGTCAGCGAGTGGTTTTCCTAATCTTGGACTTTTGAACATTGTCCAGGTGTACATTGCTTGTTTTAGAGTCATCTAGAGTGGAAATTGCTGTTCTTCTGAATGATTTGGCGTACTTGAAATACGAAAAGATTAAAGACTCATTAGATGCTGAATCGGTTCTTTTAAAGCAGAGAAATCTTGGCATTGCATTTTCGTTAGTGGAGAAGACCATCAAATTGATATCAAGTGTTGCTGAAGATGAAGGTATGCATTTACTTAACTACCCCTGATTGCTGATATCATTCTAGAGGTTCTTTTACAGTATATATTTTGATTCTTTGTATCCTTTTTCATGTATAGGTAATATCATCAGTGACACGATGTTCACAAAGATCATAACTGGACTTAATGAGACTGTTGGTTTGATACTGGAGTATCTTCGAGATGCCAAGGTATAGTTATTTTATTAATTAATTAAGTTACTCCAGTTAATAAAGTTTTTTAATCTAGAACATATTACTTTGATATATTCAATATTCATGATTGAAATCTTTTTCAGGATCATGGACAACATAAAGGGAACGATCTTCTTGCTTCTGTGAGAATAGTTGGGAGGTATTTTATATTTAGTGATATTTAATTAACCCGAACTCACATTTATCCAATTTAAAATTTATAAAACATTTTTGTTGTAGTTACCTTGCAGAGACTCCAGGTGCATGCAATGAGAAAGTGAGGGAGCTTTTAGGTTATATGGTTTTAGTTGAAGGTGAAGAAGAACACAGGTTTGTCTCTTTTTTATTTCTCATTTATTACTAAGTTTATAAATTAATTGTAAATTAAATGTCATAATTTTTGTTTATAGCTCCTTCTCTTCAGTTTGCTTCTTGCTTCCGATGCTGTGTCAGATAACAATGGAGATTGATGGATGTCGGTTAATAGCCTCTTCTGGAGCATATAAAGCAGTAAGCTATTAATATATATATATTTAAAAATAAATGTTCCTCAATTTGTATAATGAATGGAAATATAAGTAAATAAATGAGTTGATTTTTTTTTTTTTTTAAATTTGAAGGTAGTAGAGTGTCTAATTAGGTTGGTTGAGGAAGATGGTGGGACAGTTGAGGAGAATGGTCCCATTTTCTTGGCATGTGATACCATCTTAAATCTTCTTTTGAAGGTATGTTATTTTGATTATTTATTATCCTTATTTGTAACATTCTAATTTTTTTCTTTTTTTCTTTTTGGTATTAGAGAGAAGAGATTGGGGTCCACATGGATGATTCTTATTTTATCAGGCTAGTGGGGGTGCTGTCATCATGGGCAGGTATAAATATAATGTAACAAATTATTTATTTTGGGAATTTTGATGTTAATGTAAATTTTTGGTTTTTGTCAGAGGATGTTGTCGACTTGTCTAGTACCATGATGGCTGCAAGCATCTGCTCTCTGATATTAGATTCAACATCTGAAGCAGTTCTCGAATGCCATCCACATTTTACGTGTAATAATCTAACAACTGTATGCCACCTCATCAGGAAAAGTATGAAATCATATGGTAAAGTAAGTTATCAAAAAGCTCATTGAGATTGAGGATTATTCTTTATTTAAGTAAGGTACATTAATATTTGATGAAACATTAACTTAATCAGTGATTGATATTTTGTATTTTCCTTCAGGATAGCGAAGCCGAGGCGGATCTTGTTCAAATAGTTGTCTCGGGTATGTATGTCAGTTTGTTATTTTAATGTTATGTTATGTAAAAAAATAGTTTTATGTATTTCTGTAACAGGTTTCCTTAGAAAAAGGTGAAAGTTTTTTATTTTTTTTCCATTATATAGGATACTCAAGGTGGGCTGATAGGTATCCTCGTGTTAAAGCAGCTGTTGAGGGAAGGTAATAGGAAAAAAAAAAAAAGGGAAAGGGACAAACCAGACTTTCAAGAGATTATTAGAGAAATTGTCCATTGTACACATTTTGATGTAAAGTAGATTCTTTTTTTTTTATGGTAATTTATACGAATTCAGGAACACGGAAAAAAAAAAATTATTTTAAGATTGGTTTTCTGTATGTTTAATTCTGTGGAATGTTGGTTATTTTAGTGTCACCAGCCATTTAGTTTAATAAGAATCAACAATAGTGCCAATGGAGATATAATATTATAATCTATGATCTAACACAAGGTGGGTGGTGCGAAATAGCACACTTGTATATTAGGACTTGGAAAATCCAACACTAGTGTTAATCCAATGGAGATTTAGTCTATGTGTATAGTGTCACATATATTTAGGCAATTTGCTAATCTTGGAACTCGGAAAACCTTGAACAATCATATACTTTCAGTTTGTACTCAATTTGGACAATCGTATGTTTTCAAGTACATACATGTTTTTTGTTTTGTGGTTAAAACTTAGTGTCCTTATGAATTATCCCACATTGAATATCTTGAAATTCAAGCATAGAGAAGAAATATCATTATGGGGAGTCAAACTTTTATGCGATCATGAAAAATCTGACTATCTAACCCCCTATTTCTATCATGGAATGTATAGTACAAGATAAAAAATTCCTGGCAATGTAATTTTTATCTACATAATTGTAGCCCTAGAGTACAACAAAGTAAGTCTACTTAGGAAAGGAATACCTGGAGGTTGGATACTAACAAATTCTATTTTCAGAAGGGCAGGAATTTGTAAAGTTATAATTGAAGATCCATAACAAATCCTTGAAAACTAGGAATGAAGTTGCAATTGAAAAACATGTAAAGAGACCATTCCAGTTTACAAACACTTCCTTGGGGGTTTTCAACTAATGGGGAAATATCCAAATAAACGCTTTCACCATGACAACACAAATAAGCTGCATTGGTTTGTATAGGGCAACAAATCAAAATGATAGGTTGTATTAACGTTTGACATTTATTGGACTGAACCCGAAGTCAATATAGGATAAAAATTGCAATGACATGAAACGATTTGAAATTCAAACCAAAAAACAGCAAGGTACATTGCAGGCATTGGTTATATACATAAAAATTAAAAAAGAGAGATTCTGGTTTTCTCTTTTCCTACAAGTACAACATGAACATCCTCAAACTACAAATGTAACAGCAAAAGAGCAGCCACCAAAAACTAAACTGTACATGTAGAGACATACACAGACTACATTTGACTGGGGCCCGCCCGGCACAAGAATGAGAAATTTGTACAACAATAACAATAACAATAACAATAATATACTATTCCTTTTAGTTGAGATAACGCTTGCAGTTATTTGAATTGCAAGAGCACAAAATCTTTTTAGCTTCATCTTCATTGTTAAAATGATAATCATATGTTATCTCTTCTCCTGGATATATATCCCTCTCTGCAAAGAACACTACCTTCTTTTCACCCCGCACCGTTATCACTTTTGCCACACAGTTTGGCTGCACACACACACCATCATATTTATTAACATCCTACTTTCAGCAGCTTTTTCAAAGTACAATAGAAAAACAGATAGAAATGAAAGTAGGTTGCTATTTCTTGCAACAATGAGATAATTTAATTATATTTTATTTTTACCTGGCATGAATGGTTTACAAAGCGAGCAATCCCCCCTTTACGGGTTGCATCGATTATATGTTCTTTATCAATCCTGAAAAAGTAGCAAGCACTTTTATATTGCAGCTGTTTTCCCGATTCATACTCCCTTTCTCTTCTGTCAGCCACACGTAGCCCCACTATCTCACCAACATACTCAACAACCTATTCATTCAGATATAAAATAAATCCAAATGTGTTATCAGTTTTTGTAATATTAATAACTTTTTAACGATTATAAATCATACACATACATACCATTTCGCTCTGTGAAATGAACATTGATGTGTAAAGACCAAGAGCATGGATGCCAGATTTGTATACAACCAAATGCTTCCAACCCTTTGACTGTTTATATCGACCATATTCTTTCTGCCATGCCCATAACAATAATAAACACACACTATGTATAAACTTTTAAATGCTATTAATGAAAGCAACATACCCGGGGATCAGACTCTACAACATCTTCAACTGCTTGTGTTGCTCTTTGAATCCCTTTTTTTAATGAAAGTTGTTGATTCATATGATTCCATGCATCTACCTGCTCTTGCCCAACCACACATCTAGCGCTCTCTTTACTATCATGCCTAAACCCTTCTCGTTTTCGTCCTTTATAACCCTAATCCAGATCAACAAACCATAACCATTTCAATTTAATTTACATGATACCTAACCTCTTATAGCATTCTACTTTCACCCACCTCAGTTCGAGCACATGTTTCATTTCCATCAGCTCTTACGCTCTCAGAATTTGTCTTGTAGTTGTTTGCTGCATGAACTTCACATCTCCCATAGAAACCAACCTTCTCATTGTCCGCTCCTTCAACCTCACTTTGCAGTAAACCCTATATCCAAAAAAAAATCAATTATATTGGCACAACATTACTAATTTACTATATATATAAATGAGGTTCAAATTTAAGACCACCTTTTGATGGGCACACCAGGGATGGAAGTCAACCACACAGTCAACAACTCTGCACCTTATGCAACAACCACCACCACGTTTACACATTGAACAAACCTGGAAGTAAAATACACAAAAGTATTTCATTCAGATATATATATATATATATATATATATATATATATATATATATATATATATATATATATATATACACCTTATACTATACATTCCATGATAGAAATAGGGGGTTAGATAGTTGATTTCTTACCACATTGTCATTTCCTTGGGGATGGGAAGCACCAGATACATCAAAAGCACTCATGGTGTCAACATTTGGGCATCGTGTGCCAGGTGTCCAAAGCCCACAAACCATATGTACCCATTGCTTAACAGAAGAGTCAAAAACCCCTGCTGTTACACTATTCAGTAGCATTGAGGAGGGCATAATTGGTTTTTTCTGAGATTCTGGATTGACATTGACATTGACATTCCATGCATTCAGAAGAGTTCTCATAATGTTGGTGGTATGGATAGCCCGAGTCATGACTCCACCTTCATAACCACATAGAACACAAACCATATTACTGTCATTCTCCCTGCATGGTCTGCAACACCAATAACTTTTCGGAACTTTTGAAACCCCATAACAAGCCTGATGCACCTGCATAATACCATATAATTACTTGTCAAAATCTTGAAAAGTAAATTTTTTTTTATTAATTTATCAAGGTAAGATGTAAGTACTTTAATCGAGCATCGGTTGCACTCCAACAAGCAATTGATTTCATCATTGTTTAAACCTCCACAAACGTTGCAGAATTTATCCACATCTGAAGTTGACTTGTGTGTTGGCTCCTCATGGGATCTAAACCAGAAGCCATAATCTTGTTACATACTCCATAGACACTAATACTATTACTCATTGATCAAACACTCAACATCGAAATATAAAGATATAATTACCTGTACATATTGTCTACTCCATGGAGATTATTACTGTTGTCACACTTCAAGTTATCTTGAGGTACAGAAGCTATGTCCTTTGAGATTGTAGCATCCTTTCCTGATGATTAGAGAGCATAAGTATAAGTTTATATTTGGTAAAGATAATATGACTTTAGATAAAAATAAATTACATATACCATTTGTAATTAACTCATATATGCTGCGTTTGCGAACCTCCTTAACTTTCCTCCTTGTTTTGGTGCCCAAATCACTATCTGGGATACCATGGCTTCTTTCATTTCTACCCTCCTTTTCCTTCTTCAAAACGTATGATGTATCAGTGTCTTTTGAGGTTTCCATAGAATCTTCATCACTGACTACTGCAGCTCCTTGACCTATGTTGTATTTATCCTCCTTGAAACCAGAAATTCTCCCTGATCGCCTATTTCCTTCTCTAATTCTAGATTTCTTCAACACCTTTTCTGGTGATTTCTTTATAATTTTGTTTCCAGGAGGGTGGTCGCATCTTTTGGAAGTTTTAAGAATCTTTCCAAGAGAAAAAATCTTAGCTGGTTTAGATGTGTCACCATTTGAGATGAGACCATACCTCCCACATACTACTGGCCTAATAATTCTTTGACAAGGCTTTCTTTTTGAAAAATCAAAATCCAACCTTGTCTTCTTTCCTTCACGAATTTCAAGGCAATCATCATAAATCCTTTTTGGCTTCTTACGTGGAAGAAGTTCCTCTGTACTTTTATGTACATCTTCCAGAGATTGGGAGGATTGCCCAGAACTTCCAGTAGATAGTGAAGAAACAGGTGATGCAGGAAACGATGTGCCAAGAATTTTGAATTTCCTTTCTCTTTTTCTCTTTCCAGCTTCAAAATCTTTCTCAAATGTTTTCATTGAACTGGTGTTTTCATGCATAGAGAGTCCATTATGTACTTTCTTCACTCTTAAAGAGTCTATGACCCTAAGCTCATCAATGAGACTACGAGTTCCGTTTTTCACACTGAATTTACAAGCAGAATCATCAAATCCAGTGTTGCCACCACTATCAAGTGCATCATCATCATCATCATCAGAGCTCTTTTGAATCCCTGAACCCTCATCTACAGCAAAGTTCTTTGCACAACCAGTGTTGTGTGCATCATCAGTGCATGAATCTCCATTGCTGATTTTTACAGATGCTTGTGTAAGAGCAGGGGTAGAACATTTGGATGATATATTAGACATAACCTGCTCCTTCATGCAATCACCCTTCTGAACAGGTTGATCAGCTACACCAGAAGTTTGGTCATTGACCTCAATCGTGTCCTCTAAAAACTTGGCCTTTTGGTCTTTACATGGCACATGGCACCTTCCTGACATTTTGCTTGGAACATCTTTCCATTGAAAAGCATTAAATTCAACTTTCTTTAAGTTTGGCTTCATCGTTTCCCCAATTTTACCAGAAGCAGATAGTATAGAAGTTCCGATTTGTGATGGTTCTCCAAAAGCACTGACAGAATTTCTTCCTTGAAGTTGAAGATTGGAATTTTCGATCATGGTGTTTCTTTTTACCCAACAGCTGCACTTGTCTGGAACATATGCACATGGTGTACCCTGACAGCAGTTTCCATGCCCAGATGATGAACGGATATTTTCACTTATACCAATCCTGAAATCATTTCATTTCATAAAATTGATGATTGCAGATAGGTAAAAGAAATCATGAACAACAAATTCAACCAATGAAGAAACACACAGGAGATGATAGATATTGAATTGCTATTTCTAGATAAGTCTGCAGTCATGTAAGTACCTTGGCAGTGAAGGCCCAGTTTGATCAGGATTGCAAAGGTGGTTGCTATTATGCACTCCAGTGTCTCTGTCTCTTATTTGAAATGATGAAATCACAGCTGATTTGTCAGCAGTCCATGAAGTAGTTCCATAATGAACAGATTTCGTTGCATGTTCCGGAAGATTATATTTACTTGCTTGTTTGTATCCATCTCTTCCAGTTAATTTTGATGGAAGAGTCATTGAACTCCTTAAATTTCCATTTAAAGAGTTACCTGGTACAATTTGGTCCTTCCCAAATCCATAGGAAGATGAAACATCACCATGGTTCATATATTTCAAACTTTTTTGCCTCGATAAAGGTGTATGTGGATTCATTACTCTAGTAGCCTCTTGCTCAGGTTGAAGACTCGTTCTTGTGCTAAAGGCTCCAAACCCGAGATTCGAAAACTTCATCCTATTTTGTCCTTCAGTTAAACTGGATTTAGCTGCTTGAGCAGCACAATCAACAACTTGCTTGCTTTCTTCAGTAATTCTGTTACTCCCTGCTACACAATATATAAACAAAAGTATTGCTCATACTACTCCATGAAATAGAACAGCAGGGCAAAATAGGAAATAAGTTTAAACAAAACACACCATTATAAAGTTTCGGCTGAGAGGAAACTAGCTCCAAGGGATGGTCAACTCTGCTAACATGGGGAGCATGAAAACCAGGTGCATTTGATTGTTGAGATGGCTGTCCTAGTCTCAACTCAATATTTGAAGAAGCTGTAGCTTTTACCATTTTATCCACATCCCTTAAATTGTTGAATTTATCAGAATCTTTACCAAGGCTTCTTCTATTTTGCAGACTATTTTGGTAGGTGAATGAATCTTTGGTCTTATAGATTGGATCAATGTGTGTAGGACAGGATTGAAATGCATTATCTAGGCCACCTGCAAACTTTGACATTGACAAACAACCGGACACAAGCTGCTCCATAATCTTGTTAGCTGCCCCACTCTGTACATTGCTCTGAGATGTTTTGGTGAAGCCATCATGATTATCATGGGTGTCCCTCTGAACTTCATGACATAGTATCTCATTAACCAAATTCTGGCTTGAATGATGTTTATCTGGGAATACCATGTTGTTCAATGGTCTAGGAGATTTGGAGAGATCACAAGTTCTTGACATGTTGGGTACCCTCTCACTCTTCTTTACCAAATCAGGAGTTGCAGAGAATCCTTGAGGCCAGTGCCATCCATGGGGGTCTTCAGGTATCCTAATCTAAAGCACCATAAAAACATCACCAACCAGAGTTCTTGGTGCTTCAATAACATGCCAATAACAAATACAATGTTCAATGATAGCAATAGAAGTAAAAATTTACACCAATACATGCATGCAAATCAAGTATTCAATGCTTACAAATATGAAAAAATGAAGGATCGTATAAAATTTCAAAGGAAACAGTCAGCCAGATCACATAACACAGATAGAATTCTGAGGACAGCTTACCCCAAATTTACTGAAGTAGAACTTTCGCCACTGAGCTATGGTCTCACCACTGTCTGTATGGACAGCATCTCCAGGATTAACATCTTGCAAACCTGAATGCTGCAGTCAGAAGCAATCATAAAATTTTCATCTTTATATGATTCAAGGAGGATGGAATCCACAAAAAAACATCCTCATAGATTACCTCTGAAAACTTGGAGATTGACATACGAATGCCATGGCATGCACAAACAACTCCTAGGAGTCCATTGCTACTGAGAAACAGATCACCACCTTTCAATACGTAAAAACCCAAGGTTAGAGCTTTATCACCACAACCTACAACAACTGTCCACTATTCTAGCAACAATAAGGCATGAACACTCACTTGCATACAGACAAAACACACGTGGTAAACCACAAGTTGGTGCAGCTTTCAGAGAAGAAAGGCCATTCAATTGTTCAATGCCATGAGATGTGTGATAATTAGCTACCTTTGCAGGCTCTAAGTTTGGATCACTTGCTTTTCTAACCTGCACCATATCATGCAAACAAGCAGTGTTTCCACCATCACTTGCTAAAGCTCTGACTGGAACAACTGGAGAGGCATCAACTTTGGACTTCAGGTAGCGGTTATCAAATGAAGGTTCACATTCTGTGGGACCAACAATAGAGCTGCTATTGTGGACTTGAACTTTACTTGATGTATTGGATGGCTTTGAGCTCAATACATGTTGAGAATCATATTTGGAGAAAGATGCAGGTGGTCCAGAAAGGAGGGTAAAAAATGAGGAGCCCATCACTGAGAGGCTTGAGTTGTACAAATTGATATTGGTAGCTTGGAACAAGGGATCAGCCATCATTTTACGGGTTGATGAACATGGTTCTTGAACAGTATGTGGATAATAGTAATGATTTGGATTCATCATCTACAACAAATATAAAGTTATTCAAGCTTGTATGTCAATATGAAACTGGTTACTGGCCAACTATATTAGACTTCATAACAGGTAGTAAAAGTTTTAAAATTGTTTATTTTATATTTCAATAAATTTACATACGAAAAGTATTAGGTTTGACAGGAAAAGATTGTAGCTTTTCTTGTATAGTAGCATACAGTACAGATCATGTTACATCATTCGCGCAAGCTGTATCTTTTTTATGTAAACACCCTTGCTTCAAAATATGTCCAAGTCTTATACTACACTACATTCATGCATTGTCTACTGTAAAGAATATAGCCTCAATATATCAAATAGTTTGTTGACTCTGTTCAGATACAATTGTATGCCCTAGAAAATATTCTCCCCTCCATCTCAAATTCAATACAAATGACCTTTCTGATCAAACTGTAAACAACAAAGCACTTTTAAGTTCAATAAGTCTTGCTACTTAACTTAACAGTCCAAAAAAAGCATTTATCAGTCGACTAAACCCATTAAATGAAGAAACAGGAATGGCATAAACAAGTAGAACCATGTCGTTTCATGGTGTAAATAGCTTACAAGATCTCAGTTCACTTTGTCACTAGTCCTTGTAAAGACGGTGTTTAAGTAAATTTCTGAAATTTGTCGATTTATCTTGTGCATAACAAAGGAAGAACACATTTGATTTAAACTACACACATTCGCTTTAGCATAAGCTAACGAGATTTTGGGGAAAATTATGGGAAAGATTTTGGAAAAGGAAATCGTGCAGAATTATGACAAACTTCGCTTTGAACAATGGAATTGGCAAACAGAAAATCAAATGTGGCACACGAGCTGTCGACATATCCAACTTTCAGTCGTTAAAAATACCACATAAAAACAAGCGACCATGATCGCCAACAACTCTAAAAACACACAGGAAAAAAAAAAGTAAAGGCGTCTTAGATTACCGAATTTCTAGAAGAATCATGTGACTGAACTTGAGAGACCGGAGACGGAGCCACCACAGCGGGGTCCGCCGATGACTGGCAGGTCGAACCACATTTGGTCGGCTGCCACTGATTATCCATTCTGTAGTAGCTCCAAACCAGCTCAAATCATTGAAGACGATAATCGTGCACTAGCCAACATTTAAAACATGAAGAAATTCCATAGCAGGCGCTTTTCTGTTCACACACAGTAGCAATGGCGAGTGTGTGTGAAATGATGAAAAAAAGGGGGAAGAAGACAAGTGTTGGTAGGAGTTCGAGAAGAGGGGCTGACCTAAGACCGGTGCCTTGACCCATATGATACTACGGAGCAACATCCACCGTTGATTTATCATCTGATGGTTTGTAGCCGTTGATTGTGAGCAACAGCTAGGACTGATAATGTGTGGGATCAACTGTAGCACGGAACACATGTGGGCTCCACTGGTCGATTGATTACAAAAGCTTTTGACTTTCTGCAATTTTGACTATTTAACGTCAAAATGGGTTTGGTTACTTGTTTTTATAGCAACGACTAAAGTTATAACTTACATAAAAATAAAACAGATCACATGAATGTTCTTAAATCATTTTTATTTATTAGCAATCTTAGGGTTAGACGTTTATTCTTGATCAAATTTTGACCGTTTGATATTATAATTAAAAACGTATAATTCATTTTATAGCCTTTAATACGAATCTTATAATTATTAGATTAAATAATAAATTGAGTCTATTAACTCAATCATCAACTACACCACTCTATTGTACATAATGTCTCAATATATTAAGCATGACACAAGTTTGGTTAAAGTCAAGAAACATGATTGTAAAATGATTAACATGGAAGGCGTTGTTAAGAAAAAGAAAAACATGTGAGATTATGTTTAATGGTTGAAAAACATAAAGTTTGTATAAAATAAAATACTTTATCTAGAAAAGGTAAATGTCATAATCAATATTTAAAAAAATAAATCACAAGTGTGGAGTATAAATTCCTACGTTTAAGAATAATACGGAGTAATATAAAACTTAATGTCATAATGTGCTAGTTAAGGCCATACAAACATATGACACCGTTGTCGACTTGCTTGTCTTTATGTTATAAATTGAGTTTTAGTTGGAAATGTCAATATATTTATTATTTCATTGTTTTAAAAAATAACAGAGAACATTAATTACAAACTAATATTATATAGATTTCTTAGTGATATGCCAAACAATGGATACTACAAACGAAAATAGAAAATAAAAATATAGTTTATTTTTGTAGTAAAAGAAAGTAAAAAAATCAAACTTTAATACAACAAATTATGTGACATCCTAAACTTATTTGATTATTTTTAAACGGCGATGCTTTTATTAAAAGTCTAATAAGATGCTTGAACAAAGAAAAGTAAAAAAAAAATAATAACAACCAAATCTAAACATGTTTGATTTGAACTTTAAAAAGAACTTTGTAACTTTGTATTTGAATAAAAAAACACGATATCAAAATTAAATTTGGAAAGAACTTACTTCCCAACTCGTGTAAAAAAAGAATGTTTCTAAAGTCCAAATCATATTCTTCTAAAACATAAGTTAAATGTGAATATACAATCTAATCGAGCGTGACAAATTATGCATTGATGTTGTTTAAATCTTCTAAAGTCAAATCATATTCTTCTCAAAAAATCTCTTAGTTACATGCAATGAAAGTAAAATATGAGTCGCAAAGAAAAACTTTTTGAGGTCAATGATCATAAAATCATGAAATATAGGAACAATAACTTATGAAATTGATATCTTTTAGCTCTTTTCAAGAAAACTATCATCTCTACAACCATGATGAACTTGAGACCAACAATCAACAAATCACCAACCATTGAGATACTATAGTTGCAAAGGAAAACATATAGGATAAGTTATGACTTCGTGTGAAATATGACACGTGACATGTGATTCAATCCTTCTGTAAAATATGACACATGACATGTTCCAAGTAATAGATTTTACTTCTTATGTGGTCTTGTTATTAAGAGTTTTTTCATGAGTTCGTGTGATGTTCTATTTTGAATTATCGAATATGATTTTTATTTTCTTGTTTAGAGTAATGCATTGAGTAAATTGCACAAATAGTCCCTATGGTTTAGGGTAATTTGCATGTTTGGTCCCTAACTTATTTTTTGAACTCGGAAGGTCCCTACTGTTTGTTTTTGTTACGTTTTTGGTCCCTGTCTTACCTAAAAATACTATTTTTCCCTTAATTTTTTAATTTATTTAAATAAACACACCCCCAACCCACCTCCTCACCTTACATTACCTACCTCGTCATTTTTCCCTATTTAAATAGTAGTCTTTTTAGGTATGACAGGAACAAACGCGTAACAAAAACAAACAGTATGGACCAAGTACGTAACAAAAACAAACAGTAGGGACCTTCCGAGTGAAAAAAATAAGTTAGGGATCAAACACGCAAATTACCCCAAACCATAGGGACCATTCATGTAATTTACTCTAATACATTTTGCCTATCATTTTTCTCATGACTAACATTCTTTTCTTGGCTTCGTGCTTTGCCGTTTGATTTTTTGATATGATTTTTAGGTTTTAGGGTATAAATAGACACACTAGTGTATCAAAGTTAGATGGTGGGGTCCAATCATAATAAAATTTTGAGATCTTGAATCCAAAGATCTTCGATAAATCTTACTTCAAGATCAATCTCATTGAAATCAAAATTGAAATTGGATGTTGGGGTTTTGAGACCGTGTGTGTGATTCTAATATTAAGAAATATTAAGACTTGGATCTTAACAACATTGCTTTTAATTTTCATTTATAAACTTGTCAATTTTTTTATTATTTCACATAATATATTAAATATTAAAAATATTATCCTAAAAACTTAAAATAATTTACAAGAGATTATATCATAAGAAATGGATAACTTTGAAAGGAGTTTATTAGCTAGTAGTAGTATATTCGATTTACATTTAATCCTGATAATAATAAGTGTTGAACCTAATTTGTTTGTTTTTTTCTTAGATTAAATATTATACATAAACAAGAATACATGTAAACTTAAAAGTGAAGGTATACATATACTGATTAAACATATAAATATATTAAAATACTAAAGTCAGATGATTGAGGAAAGTAAGTTAGTATACTAAACTCAAATCATTAGACTAAGGTAAAAAATAAAATATATTTGGTAAATTCTTTAGGGTTATGATTGGTATAGTGGAATGGAACGACAAAATAATAAAATGGACAACGTAATGAAATAAACAAGGTAATGAAATAAATAATTACATTTTATTGTCATGTTTGGTTGGCTCGAAAGAATAGAATAAGTCATTGGAATATGTTACTTTTATCAATAAATATAAATAAATCTAAGTAGTGTAAAATTGATAAATAAAAAATATATTATTTTACTATAATAAACTTCAATTAAAAAAAAGATACATAGTTAAATAAATTGTATGTAAACATATTTTATTTGGTTCAAAATACATATTATATGCTTTACGAGTAGTTTAAAAAGAATTATATATGATTTATAAAATTTATAAAATAAAAAACTTAGATGTAATGAAATCTTGAAATTTAACTATAAATATATTTTTTTATTTTTAAAAATTTTTAAAAAATTTTGAAGTATTAATTTTTAAAAAAAAAAAAAGATTAATACTATAGAAAACTATATGAATTAAATTAATTTATAATAATAATAAACCATTCCATTCACGGATGTAATGAAAAAAAAAACACCTCCCCCATAAAACGAAAATGAGCCTAAAATTTGCATTTCGTAAGGAATGCTCTATTCCATTCCTTATGGCACCCAAACAATATTTACTTCATTCCGAATTTCATTACCTTTTCCATTATTGCATATTAAACGCTACCTAACCTAACTAATGTAAGCAAATTGAAGATAAAAATGATTGGAGAAAGGCTATACGAAATATGCCACCTATGCTAGGTATATAGCCACTTACTATTAAAAAAAAAAAAAAAAAAAAGATAAAAGTTTGGAATTGATTTCAAAATCTTCCTTACCAGGAAGCGTAGTAGAATAAATTTTCTTTGAACATATACTATAAGAAGGAATAGGCGATATTCAAGCTCAAGCTCACCAACGTTTTGCTATGCAATTTGTTTACTCAACACTTAGAAAGAGCAGACAAACAAAAAGATTAATGATGATGAAAATAAAAGAAGCACATATATATATATATATATATATATATATATATATATATATATATAATTATATATATATATATATATATATATATATATATATATATATATATATATATATATGGATTGTACTTGGATTCTCATCCATGGCTGCTGCTGCATGCCTGCATTGCATGCGTATGAGCTGCATCTATCTAAAACCCAAACCGGCTTCAGATCACTTCATGGCTCTCTCCCATTTTTATATGTTCTCTCATGCTTCACCTTACTCTGTCTGGCATCAATTTCCAACATCATCATAAATATATATACATATGAATAATATTACTGAAAGATGACAAAGTACCTACCTTTTGCCTTTTTGAGGATGGAGGATCATCCGATTGCCGTGAAGATGCACCTCCTCTATCTTGGTTCTCCTCGACCTAAAAGGGTAAAATGGTCATTTACTCACTCACTTTCAGTCCAAAAAGTAAAGCAAAACAAAGCACTTACAGTTGAAGAAGGTTGTGCAGCTGTGTCTTCCACAGCATTGGTAGTTCCAGTTATATGCTGAGAGACAATAGGCATAATCTGGTGCAACAAATTGGACAAAAAAGTTCCCTCATCACTGACCACTGTTGATGCTGATGCTTCTTCCTGGGCTGTCTGAACAGATTGAACAACATTGGCACCACCCTGACCCTGACCCTGACCCTGGTTGTGGTGTTCACCAGGAAATAAATTTCTCAACAGCTGATCAAGTCCACTGGGAACCTCTGTAGTAGTAGTAGTAGTACTAGAATCTATGTTTTCACCACCATAACCATTGCCATTTCCAGAATCAACAACATTTTGAGTTCTTGCTAGCACTGGTAGTAGTACACCCATAGAGCTTCGGGAAGATTCAGAAGGTGGCACTGAAATCCTAATGGGGACTACCCGCACCTCCGATCCCCTGCTTTGCGCCAAGTTCCTAAGGGCATTTTCGTGATTTGTAACTCCACCATCAGCAGGAGCTGAGCGCTCTCCACCACCATTTGTTTCCCTCATCACTGAACCTAAAGAAAGGGGTTAATGGAATGGAAGCCCATTAAAATCAGAATATGAGAATACATACCTGTACGTATTCTGATATCAATATTCCTTGGACGTAAAGCAGAACCAAAACTACTAGTGCCAGAGGCTGACCCTGTCACTACTACAGGTACAGGTGGAGGTTGAGGTGGATGTGTGGTTGTTCCAAAACTAGTGCCAGGTTGAAAAGGAAGAGGCTGCACCATTATTGGATTTGGTCCAGATGTTGATATGAAAACAGCAGGTCCAGCATTCACCACTGCATCACTCTACAACAGTCAACATTTAATTAAAACTTTTTATATAAATAACAATATAAAATTGTAAAAAAGAAAGTTTAAAAACACACTGGTGACTGTCCCAAACGCAGTGTCATGGTTGTTCGCCCAAGCTCCAGCAGAAAAGCACCCAAATTTTGCAACAGAGCACCCGACCTCAAAGCATTTGACTGCATCCTTAACCTTGCCATGGGATCAGTTACATTGCTTTGATCCCCTAATTGTCTTGTCAATTGCTGCAACCACAAAACAAAACACATTTACAAATCATCAACATAACATTAGATAGTTAGAAAGTTTAGTTTAGTTTAGTATAGTAGATACCATCAAGCATTCTCCAGCTTCTTCAATGAGCAATTGTCTTGCAGACTGTGTCACTTCTCCCAGGGCTGCTGGTGTTGGTAACCCTCCCAGACCAACACCTAAAAGTGGTGGTGTCCTTGTACCATTCGACTCTTCCCTATTATTGTTCCCCTGGATTCTAACTGTCAACACCAAATAACCAAATTCACAATCAAATCAATTGCCTCTTAAAAATTCACATTCACTTCACCACAACAAAAGACACCCACCATTGTCGCTAAATTCTTGCCTCAAACGCCTTAGATACTGGGACAATGTACTCAAAGAATCAGGAATAACCTGTCTCACACACTCACATAAATATGTATGTTGTAATCAATCAACTCACAAAAGCAAAAAAACCAAAAGTATTCTTTCTACTTACAGGGAGCTGCAGAGATTCCATGGATACATCACTTGGAAGTGTGAAGGTAGCAGCACCCCTTCCAGAACCATCTTCAGCTGGTTGTGGTTGTTGTCCGTTGGAACTTCTTATTTCATTAAGACCAGGTATCCGTGAAAGCCTTTCAGAGATGTGTTGCTGTTGGAGTTGGACAAAACAATATTACTCATTGATGTTAAAAACCTAAAAACACTTTTACTATTACAGTATATTATAAACTTACTAATGGTGAATGACTAGAGGATTAAAAATTACAAAGGTGGGTGGCCACTTACTTGCAGATCTACTGCTTCACCACCACTTCCGGCATTGGCCATTCCAAAGGAACCAAGAACAGCAGAAACAATCTACCAAACAAGAATTACTTCAGCAGCTAAGCCTAAGCCATTCTTTATTATAATGATTTATACTTTGTTATCTTACCCGACTAAAATCTGGAATTCCACCATCACCTTGATCAGATATGTTGAAAGTTCCCACCACTACACTAGGCCCATGCCCATGACCATGACCATGTTGATGTTGGTTTCCCATTGACTGCCTGCTATTTGATGCTGGATCACTAGCTGCAAATACAGAGAGTACACTGGGATCAAGATCATATCTGGAAAGCAATCTTAAGAGCAAATAGCTTTTACCAATGGCCATATCAGACACCTAGTTGACAATGACATGACATCTTTTGGCATAAAAGTTAAGTTGCTGAACAATTGGAACGTACTACTACTTTTTACTTCCTATCTAAATGGAATGTGTTTGAATATGGAAATATTTAGAGCAATCAGTAGGGGATGATTTTCATTCAACCAAACGATGCATGTAGAAGCACACAACAAGATGTAAACTCACAAAAAGAATGATCATCAAGAAACTATCAAGCTCACAGCTTTCTATCACATACAGAGTTCTCATGTTTCAAGTTTCAACACACGGTCACTGTTGGAAAAATAGGTATTAAAATATTCATCCTTAATTTGTTACTAATTTTTTTAATGTTCCACTAATAAAGTGGTCATAAGTAAGAAGAGATTTTCTCTTCAATAACTCATTCCCAAGTCTCAACTCCCTAGTTTAAAATTCAACCCATTAATCTCTATTATATGTTAAACTATTACTATGGATATTTACAGGGTTTCCGTGGTATTTTGATGCAACAAATGAGTAGTATCCGTATATTAAATGAGTAGAAACTTATTTTAAGGATTTAATTTTTCTGTTGGGTTATTTGGATGTTAAAACCAGATTATTTATGGTGATAAATGTTGGCTTAGGTGCAAAAAATAACCGTTATAACGTATTTTGAAAATTATTTGTATGAAAGATATACGGAAATATGTCGGTGAAGTATCGGAAGCCTAAAATACGAATTCAGGGTTTCAAAAGAAAATGTTAGTTATGAGAATGACCAAAATATGCCTCATTAACTTTTTATTACAGCTACTGTACTTCTACTTATTTCCTACCCTTAAGACTACTAGGATGTGTAACAGAGTTAGGTGATTTATTTAGAACTTTATAAAGTTCTATAAATCCTGTGATTATTATGGGTTTGAATAAAAAACACACAGTTGCATACTTGGATTGCAATCCTGTTGTGTAGAAATTGTAGGTCGCTCCTACAGATTTTGCAGAAGTGATCCACTTACTTGATAGTGACTATTTGTTGAAAGTATTCATAATCCAATCTTCTAACAATAACAAGAACAAAAAAGCACAAATTCTTTAGCTTTTCTGTTAGATCACCACTAGGCATCACCAAATTTTGACCAATACAATATTATTTAGGAAAGTACTCACTACTCGTTCCCAGTAAAGCACTCTTTGTCAATTTCAATAGTCACACACTAGGGCCTCATAGTAGAATAGAAAGAGAAAGCAGCATGAGCATAGAAGGCATGTACCTGATACTAGATTCATGGTTCAAGAATTAGACCTTCACCTAGTTTACGAGGGAATAGGGATATGATCTAAGGTAAAATTTGTGCAAACAAAACAAAGTATCCTCTAATGCAAACTGAACTTCAATAGAAAGATAAGAAAGGTATAGAACTCAGCAAACCTGTATGATCAGAAAAGCTTGCTAAAGATGGGTTAATCGGCTGCCTAGCAACCAGGTGTAATGTGTGACCATCTTCCACATCTATGATTCATACTCATTAAGGAGCTTCAGCATCCATCAGTATTCAATAATGAAACTAGAAGAAACCCTTTCAAGCAAACAAAAAAATGTAACATATGGAAAAGGATACGATAAGCTGAAAGGAGCTGATCATCTTTCAGAACTTTGCCACGACAGATTAAACGTTGCTGTTCAGATAATACACCAGTAACAGAAGCAATCTGCTCCTTTAGTGCAGGAACAGGTACCTATAAAAGAACATATACAAATGAAGAAAACACAAAAAAGGTAGCAACTTTGAAGAAACACAAACAAGGCAAGAAAAGAGTGTTTACACGTTTGTCTACTCGTAGAGTGTATGTTTGAGAATCCAAAGTCTTTATCTTTATTTCAACAGTGGCTTCAGAAGTGTTGCCCTCACTGCTCCCAGAATCCATAACATCCTTACCACCATGATTGCTTGCCATAGTCTCAATTGCTCACTCAAGGCCTGTAATAATAGATACACAGTCATGATATAGATCATTGAGAATAATTGTGATGTGTACATAAACCAAGAACCAAAGCATGACATGCATGAATTCAAAAATCACAAATGGTTTCAGATTTTACTGAAGATTACATAGCCTAAATCTGACATAAAGAGGCAGTAGTGATTCAGATGTACATGAATTTCAAAATTGAGCATAATTATGCAACTAATCAATTGGAAAATATATATGTACAATTCATCCAGCTAACCAATTGGCAAATATCGGCACAATTCATCCAACATATCAATTGACATGTACATCAATACTCTTAAGTATTCTCTGTCGAGTTCATCAGCAACCAACCACACAATAAATTTCAAATGCAGAATAATCTAATACTCTTCAAAAGATTGCATATTTATGTTACATTGGCCAAAGGAGACTAATTCGTGTTCAATTATACATAATACCACCGACTATCTTCTATATGCAAATGAAAAAAACACACACACACACACACACTATATTGTTGAGAGTCGAGCATTCCTCTACCCCTGTTACGAATCAAGAAAATGTTATACAATTTATAACTGCCGATTACTGCAGGGTTTTTTTCATCAACATGGAAACTTGAAGAGGGCACACACTCAATGACTCAATCAATTAAATTTGTATATCAACCAGCCGATAAAACAAGTCTGAACTCAAATTACACGTTACAAAAACATCAAAACTCCAGTCGTGAATCTTGATACGCAAACAAACCTTTTGCATGATTAAATTGACGGACGAACTAAGAGAAGGAAATCGCAGGAAGTAAACTTTCAAACTCGTAGTTAATGCAAACAAGGAAGCCAAGAAAGTCGTCCGATTCTAAAACCCTAAAATGCTAGAAAAAAAAAATATGACATGCGTTTAAAGGCATCGAAAGCATCGACTGATGATGAAGAAAGAATCGGAGGACAGAATTTCGTTACCTGATCTTCGCTGGGAGAGAGCACCGCTCAACCGCGCCCTCTCTTCTTCTATCTGTCAGATTCCTAGCGATCTGGGCTGGACACCGAGTGGGCGCTCGGTAAATTATATATGCAATCAGTAATCACCACTCTTCAATACTTTCACATTGTATAAATTGTATGTTCATCATGTAATTACCACGTAGATTTAAAAATTAAAATTAATTTATTCAACTTGTATAAAGAAAATGCAAACATATGCTACACATTTTGAAAATCGGTCATTTGAAATGATTTAAGTGAAAGGCGAAAGCCCATCAAAATTAATATAAAATAACTATTTTACTTTTGAATTTTTATTAAAAAGGAGTTAAAAAAAATGACCTTTTTGACCCCAATCAACGACACCTTCATCACGTGGACTCCCACTGGCGACTCACCTTCCACTAATGCCAACAATGCCAACATGCCTCAAGGATGATCATGTTGCAAAAGAAAGATTTCCATTCGATACTCTTTTTTCGTATTATTATTTTTGAAATTGAGTTTTGTAGCTTCAACAAAGCTAAAAGTTTGTGTGGATAGTTGGTTGTTATAAAACTGATGAAACCATAACCAATAAAAACACCACCGCCAAGAACATAGAGTTGGGTGGAAACCCTTTTGGGAAAAAACCACAAGCAATCGACTGTGAATAAGGTATTACATGGTTATGACAAATTTGATGGTAAGAAGATTTAGAATAATTAAAAACTAATGGTTAGACGGTTTTATTTATAAGTCATTAACATGGATCCCAAAAAACTCAAATAACTTGTAAAACATATGATTAAAAGGAAAAATGTTAATATGTTAGGTTTAAACCCAAAACTATTAGGATTGAAAATATTATGAGTTGTTTGATTGACTATATATATATATATATATATATATATATATATATATATATATATATATGGGCCCTGGTCTACTTAAACCCTAAGGCCCTGCCCCCCCCCTATATATATATATATATATATATATATATATATATATATATATATATATATATATATATATATATATATGGGCCTTGGTCTACTTAAACCCTAAGCCCCCCCCCCCCCCCCCCCCGGTGCAGTTTTATTGGGGACGTTAAAATTGAATCTAAAAAAAACACATAGATAAAGATAAGAAGGTCGGTGGAGATCAAGAATATGAGTCAGCAACGACGACTAGATTTGGATGCGGCGATGACTAAGTCTGCAGATATCCTTAACGGTTTTCTACGACTAGGGTATCGACGAAGACAATGCCGAAAGTAGCTATGTTTATGACGATATTCGTAACTCTAACTGCAAATTTGATAGAGAGATATGGGATACGGGCTAACCAGAGACAATGGTGGCTCGCTGGAGAAGGAGAGAGAGAGAGAGAGACAGAGCTAGGAGATGAGGCAGCGACAGTGACAGCAAGATGGTCCCATCGGAGAGAAAAGAAGGAAGATGAGAGTTGAAAAGGGGAGATAGTATGTATGATCTCCGACATCAGTAGTGTCGGTGTTGTGTAGGGTTCCAACGATGGGTTGATCATAAGAGAGGATTGAGAGTGTTTGACTCTGATACCATGTAAATATTATGAGTTGCCTGATTGATTAAGAGGGTTAAACCTTATATAAAAATGGATACATAAGGGGCATTGACCTACTTAAATCCTATGCGCTTCGAGCCTAAAATCTATATGCTAACATACTAACAAAAACTATCCTAAAGAATAGTAAATTTTGGCTATGTAAAGAATTGGTTCAAGATGCAGGAGTAATTTTCATCTGTTATTTCATGAAGATATTACAAGAATATATACAGGGGAATTACAATTACAATATGGAAATTATGATACTCCTTAAATGGCTAGCCTGTATAGACGGAATGTACAACAAGAAATAGGTGGAGGAGATCAATTCACAATCATACTATAATTAGCTCTCGTCAACACTCCCCCTCAAGGTGGAGAATGGATGTCTATCATTCCCAACTTGTCAAGAGAGCTATGGAAAACCCTTCCACACACTGCTTTAGTCAGAATATCTGCAAGTTGGTCTTTTGAGGGAACCAACGGAAGTTCGATTATACCTTTTTCTAGGTGATCCTTAATAAAGTGCCGATCAACCTCCACATGTTTGGTCCTATCATGATGGACAGGATTATTCGCTATCTTAACACCTGCTTGATTGTCACAACTTAACTTCATCGGATTTGTGAGACCAACATCGAGGTCTCTCAATATTTGTTTTATCCACAAAAGTTCACACACCATGAACCATTCCACGTAGTTCAGACTCCGCACTTGATCTAGCAACAACCTTTTGTTTCTTGCTTCTCCATGTGACCAAATTACCTCCAATAAAAGTAAAATATTCAGATGTTGACTTTCCATCGGTCCCATTTCCAGCCCAGTCGGCATCCGTGAATCCACTTATCTCTTTGCTTTGATTCTTTGCAAAAAAGAGTCCCTTTCCTGGAGATGACTTCAAGTATCTTAGGATTCTGTAAACAGCTTCCATGTGATCTTCACTCGGAGCGTGCATAAATCGGATAACAACACTTACAGCATATGTTATGTCTGGACGAGTATGTGACAAATAGATTAACTTCCCGACCAGCCGCTGGTACCTTTCTTTGTTCGTTGGGACCTGATCCGGATGAATCATTAATCGGTGGTTTACTTCCATAGGTGTGTCAGCTGGTCGATAGTCAAGCATCCCAGTTTATGCTAGAAGATCCAATACATACTTTCGTTGACACATAAATATGCCATGCTTTGATCTTGCAACTTCTATACCCAGAAAATACTTCAAATTTCCAAGATCTTTGAGTTCAAATCTTGTCGCCAGAACCTTTTGGAGGTTTAATATCTCCGTTGAGTCATTTCCGGTAACAACCATATCATCCACGTATACAATCAATGTTGTTATGTTCTTCTTTTGTCTTTTTATGAATAGAGTGTGATCCGCATCACTCTGTTGGTACCCGATTTTCTTCATAAAGTTAGAAAATCTTCCAAAACACGCACGTGGAGATTGCTTTAGCCCATATAAAGCTCTATTTAGCTTACATACTTTGCCTTGACAGTTTATCCCGGGAGGAGGTTCCATATACACTTCTTCCTCAAGGCGATCGTTTAGGAATGCATTTTTCACATCAATTTGTCGAAGAGGCCAGTCTTGGTTTGCTGTTATAGATAAAAGGATACGAATGGTATTTATCTTTGCTACCGGAGCAGAAGTATCTCCATAATCGATACCATACTTTTGAGTGTACACTTTAGCAACTAGTCTCGTTTTGTACCTGTCAATATTTCCTTCCGAGTCGAGTTTGACCGTAAATAACCATCTACATCCTACCGGTTTCTTTCCTTGAGGGAGATTTACCATCTCCCAAGTACGATTCTTTTGGAGGGCTTCCAATTCAGCGTTCATTTCTCTCTTCCACTTATCGTCTTTCAGGGCTTCATGAACATCGTTTGGTATAGACACAGATGACAATTGGTCTACGAGTAGCACTTGAGATTTTGCAAGCCGGCGGGAGGAAACATAGTTGTTGATGGGGTATTTTGCCTTAGCTTTGAGATCTACTTGATATCTCTTTACGAGGACTCCACGGTTATGTCTTACATGATATCTTGGTTCAGGTTATTGCGGGATTGTTCAGGTTATCCTGCAAAATAGAGCCATTACGATTAGAGGTTGGCGAAGGGACTGAAGACGTTGGCGGTTCATGTGGTGGTGGGGAAGTAGTATCCTCTTGATCTTCAACCACCACCTCATCTAGTTCTCCACTAGTTTCCTCCATATGTGTTTCATTATCTTCTCCTTCATTTTCGTTGTCCGGAGTATCGGGGGTTTCACCTTGTAGATTTGGTTCTTCACTGAACTCATATGGGTTCTCTTCCTCCATTTTTGTTGTTTTCCCCCCTTGAAGAGAACTCCCACCTTCAAAGAATTGAATATTCTCATGAAATACCACATCTCTGGTGATGTACATTTTTTTCCGTAGGGTCATAACACCGATATCCCTTCTTGAAATCAGCGTACCCTAGGAAGATGCATCGAACAACTCGAGGTTCCAGCTTACCAAGGTTTTGATGCACATAAGTCGTGCAACCAAAAACCCTTGGTTCAAGATCGACGTTTGCTGGGATTTCCACGAGTTCCTGAAGTTTTTGAGCATGAGTTTTAAAATCAATGACTCTAGATGGATATATGTTCATGAGATAAGTTGCAGATCGGACAGCCTCACCACAGTATTGACAAGGAACATTCATGTCAAACAAGGATGCTCGAACAATCTCTAGAAGTTGTCAATTTCTTCTTTCAGCTATTTCGTTTTGTTGCGGAGTTCCAACACATGAGGTTTGATGTCTTATGGATTTTTCTTCACAAAAATCTTTCATTTCTTGGTTGATATACTCGGTTCCGTTAATAGATTGTAGGACCTGGATGTCGCATTTATATTGTGACTTAACGATTCGGACCAATTCTTTAAAGACTGTACATACTTCTCCCTTATGTTTAAGTAGAGAAATCCAAATCATGCGAGAACATTCATCAATAAAAGTCACAAAATAACGAGCACCGTTAGGTGTAGGTATTCGAGCGGGGCCCCATACATATGAGTGAATAGTCATCAAAGGAATCGAATTCTTATTATCCCTTGGAGCATATGAAGTTTTATGGCTTTTAGCCATTTCACAAATACCACATTTAAAATCATCATTCTTTCCAAAAAACAAACTTGGTTTCAGTTTACGAAGATAATTGAATGATAAATGTCCTAGTCTACGATGCCATAGCCATGTCATCGTTTTATTTCCATGAGATATTCCAGTATTGAGAGCTACACCATACTTCTGGTCTTCAAGGTAATACAACTCCCCCCCCCCCCCCCGCCTAGTACCATAGCCAAGAATCCTCTGAGTGTTGATGTCCTGGAAAAAACACTCATCAGGCCATAATGATACAAAACAATTCAACCTTTTTGTAAATTGGGATATAGACAGGAGGTTAGGATGATAGTGAGGGAACCACAAGAACTTTTTCTAGATTCATAGATTTAGATACTTGTATTGGTCCTTCACTAGTCACATGAGCAGTTCCTC